CTAAATGCAGATTGCGGGATGCCTGGCATCTCCATCTTCGACTGAGGAACGACAGGAGGTGCTAACATTATTTGTATATAGTTCTACTCTGGTTTGGGAAACATAACGCAGGACTTTATGGGCGACATCCCAATAATGGGGTATAACAGTTCAGCACACAACCCTAATTCTCTGTCCAGTACAACCATAGAGAAAGGTTATAATTCTCCATTAAATTCTCTGGGATTTTTCCATATGGAACAGTCTCTGTATCAGCAGACCAGCAGCACAGACAGGGAGACTAGGTTGAGACCGGGCTGAAAATCCGGGCCCTTTGCACACATCTGACGTAGAGGCAGATAGTGCAGCTTTTGTTGTACAGCTGCAGGCGGCTTATCACTTTGTTAGGTCTATGGTCCATAATCTCTCGGATTCCTTTAATTTCCCAAAGCAGCCTGCACCTTCTCAAATCTTGCATTCCCTTAAACCCAGACCAGTACCTATCTCTGCATTTAGACCATGCTCTCCCCTAGCCTGACTCACTCCTGAAGCACTTGTGCTGGAAAGTTTGATAACCGGTAAGGAAGAGAGAAAAGTATCTCTCCTGGCTGCCTGTGTCATTTGCAGTCAGGTACCAGGTTTCTAAAGTCCTCTCACTATGCAGAAGAAAATACAGAGCCTTGCATTCATTGAATGTCATCGCCTGAGACGTCAGGAAATGGAGCACTGTCTCCTTAGTGCTAATCAGGACAAGCAAGGAGACGGAGAAGGTTCACGCTCAGGTTAAGAAAGCACAAGAAAGATCTTAGCATCTTCTGTCCTTCCTAGCATTAGCGTGACCTCCGACGGGATGAAAACCCCAATGCACCTGGTGCTATAAGTACCCACAGGTCCATTGGATGCTCCCTGCAGCTGCAATGCAAAGCAGTGATTGTGGCCGAGATCCAGGAACAGAGAGAAATTCCTGGCGTGTTTGCAGCAGAACATGATCCTCTTTGATGGCTGGGCAATCTGGCCAGGTCCTGGCTAGCAGTACCAGGCACAAGCCCCGACAGAGCTAAATCCAGCCAATTTCTAGCTTTCTGTCTTCTCTCCTCCTCCTTCTCCCAGGGTAGGAGGGAACTGGAATCTGGCCATTTTCCCCCATAGGAAAAAATATACAACTGCCAAAAGCAGGAAATGGAAAATTTTGGAAGTGAGGAAGGAGGGAGAAGAATTATTGTGAGCAGCTGAATGAACCAGAGCTGCAAAGCTCACCGCTGCCCCACAGCTCCCTCCAAGCTCCATTCCCTGGATCAACCCTACTGGGCAGCAGAACAGGAGCCCACCCACTTCCCCTTTCTTTCCCCCCCACAGGTCAGCCCCGCCTGGCAGTGTTACAGTGTCCCTGCTCACTCATCTCCCCTTGGGCTTTGGTCCACTGTTTCATTTTTGTCTTCCCCCACCCTCCGAGGGATCCCTCCTATGACATTGATGGAAGGAGGCAGGAAGGAAACAGAGAAGAAGGGGGAATGTTTCCCCCCATTCTCTGTAAGTGCAAGACCCCTTTATTAGGCTACTGAACCGTATCTGCTGAGATCAGCTTTACAGTCTCCAGTTCACTGCTCTGCTTAGCTCAGTCCATCTCCACGAGGGGCCTGCGGCCTCTGAGCGGGAACCCACCCAGGCTGGGGAAAACCAGTTGCACGAGGCAGGTGACCGGGAGAAGGAGTCCCGTGATGACACCTCCGCTCGGAGTATAATGCAGAGAACGCGCTGTCTCGGAGTTGGCTTCCTCCTCCGATCGCACAATGGGAGCGCTCAGTTCCACATGCACTGCATGGGCACAGGTACTCTGGGGGCTCGTCCATCATTTCCACGGGAGAACAGAGCGCTTGTCTGGTGAGGGCTGAGCTAGCCCCTCCAACACACACGCCCGGAGCCCAGAAGCATGGTGACCTCAGAACTGGCAGTGATTTCTACTGTCATGCTCTGAACCCCGCTCCCTTCCCTGCTCCCCTCCCCAGGTGCTCCTGAGAAAAGGCTGAACAGCTCACAGAGACGCGCAGAGAGCCTTAGAAAGCAGGTATTGTTGGAAGACAAATGACAAAGGCAGACTGGCGTGCCAGAGCTCCTGAGAAGGCACTGCACCCGCCCCCACTCCCAGGTGTGCGGCCCCGGAGGATCCTGAGCTGTGCAGAGCTCCCACGTTAAAGGGCGTCATTAGGGACCGAGTCACAAGACGTCTCGGGATTAAAGTTCATTGCACCATTACAACTGAGGGCTGAGCTGCAAGGGAAAAACACTGGCAATCTTTTGTGCCACTCCACGCCCACATCCCATCTCCCCCTGCACGATAGTTCTATGGAGGCCTATTCAGTGGTACAGACCTAAACAAAGCCCTGCCCAGGCCATCCCCATTTTTGACTGTGAGGCACACAGAGGTGGTGTTCCCTGAATGACCAATTGCCAAGGACACTACTGCAAGTGCCACATCACATTCACCTCCACTGCTCCGGAGAAAACATGGTACCATATTAGGAGCTGCCTGCTGTCGACTCCAGCATGCTACACCGCATAGTGCCAGGGGAAAACACCTCTCTCTGAGCTAACAGCTCAGGTCACTTTCCACGGCAAGGGAGCTCTACCTCGGCAGCAGAGCCCCTGCCTATCACACTATGGTCTCAATATGCCACATGCCGGGGGGCGAGCAGTGGGTCAGTCGCTTCTCTCTGCAGCTCCCAGTGCAGAGGAATCTGGGCAGCAGACCCTCTTTCAATCAAAGCTGAAGACTCCCTTGTTTCCCCCTGTGGTTTCCCTCATTAGCTCGGCACTGCAGTCTTTCTTATCAAATTAGTGTCCGTCTTCTGCAAAGCCCCTGGAGATGTCGTGGCATAAGCAGACACATGACCAGCCGGAGCAGTTATTGATCCACTCTGCTCCAGCATGACACATTCACAGAATCTCCGGGAAACATGACCGAGGGTGCCGCACGCAACAAACAAAGCCCAGCCTAGTGCCTGGCTAGCCTCTTCTCGGCCCTGGCTGAGGAGTGGGAGCCCACAGGAATTAGCCACTGAGACTGACAGCACCCATTCCCCAGGCTGTTCCATTTAGGTTCCGAGACTGCACCCGTCTCCATGGCAGCTGTGTGGCAGTACCACTATCTTCTATGATCCCCACTCACACCTGTCCACGCTGGGTAGCTATGGCTAAAACACTACAAAGGGCAAGACAAATGCTGTGGTTAGATTTTTTTAAAGGATGGGTGTATGACCATTACTTCTAGTAATATAGCTAAGATGGGGCCAATCCAAAGTCATGCTTCAGGGCACCAGCTGCTCACCTTAGGGGTCAGGACAGAAGTATGCCCACCTTGCCACATGCCCAGCTCAAATGGCCATGCTGGAGGCAGGAGACCAGAAATTATAGTCTGATCTGCTGCCAGGTTCCCAAACTCACAGCCATGTCTGGACTCCAAAGGCGCTGGAGGAATGAATGGGCGGTTGTCTAGGTTTAAGGAGACAATAATCCGGTTTCATGGGAATTCCTCTGGTCTGTTTATACATCAACACTCTTTTCATTCCATCCATTTACCTGGATGATTACATTACGTAGTAAAACCTTTTATTTGCCCTTTAATTCCCAGCACTTGAGTGAGTGGCACCGCAGGTAGGATAACAATGCACAGGGCTAGGAAGGCGGTGGGGGAAAGCAAAGACTGGCTAGATCTGGACTGCCATGTATTCTGGGCCAAGCCTTGGGGAGATGGGAGTCTGCTCAGCAACTAGGGATTGGCGGCTTTGGCCATTCATCCAGCTGCTCCTGCTCTAGTATGGTTACAGGACTAGACTACAGGTGATGCATTCTGGCCTGGGAGTGGGAGCCAGGCACCTCTGAATGCTCTGGGATCCTGTAATCTTCCTGTCTCAATCCCCCCTTACTGACGCCAACCCAACTTAGGAAAGTCCTTAGAGATCTACAGATGGAAAATCACTATCAGGGTCAAATGTCCACTTATTTATTAATTATTATAATTCTATGTAAAAAAACCCAGACACGGAGAGCTCTCCTCCATTCAAAATTACCCTCCTGTGGGAATCCATATAAACCTAAGAACAAACAACCCCCCACAAATCCTAAGAGCCTAAAAGGGAAGAAATCTAAGCTGAAGACCTTCTAGTTGTGTCCAAAGCTGGTTTCTTGCTGCAACTGCCTAGATAAGGGATACTGGCCTCCACTGACTGTTGACAAGACAACAGGCTACAGCATAGTCCAGAAATGTGACTGAGGCTTGTGGATCTGGGGAGTGGGGCTGAAGGGGGATGAGGAGCCCCCTCTCAGAGGATGGTACAGGATGGCAGGTAGACATAGTGAGTAACCACTACTGGGCTAGCTGCTACATAACATAAGAAGGGCCATACTGGGTCAGACCAAAGGTCCATCTAGCCCACTATCCTGTCTTCCAACAGTGGCCAATGCCAGATGCCCCCGAGGGAATGAACAGAACTGGTAATCATCGAGTGCTCCATCCATCCATGCTAGTATAGTGTATAAGACCTCCATAGAAAGCAAAGCACATTCCCCTCTCCCAGCGGGGTCAGCTGCAATGGTGCTGAGCTGTGTCTCCATGCCCCAGGTGCTGCCATTGTTTGCAAGCAGAAATCCAGTGGGAGCTGATGGAAGTCTCGAATACAGCACAAGTGGCTTCGAGCGCTAACCCAGCTGGCAGCACAGTGCATGCCGCGTCCCAGAACTGAGACAAATCCATATCCACGTAACCTGCCCTAACAGCTGCATGCTGAACTGGAGCAAGGCATGGGCTCCCAAACAGCTGTACCCCCCTTCTTCCCAGCTCCGTCCCTGGCTCCTCCCCTAGCCTCTTCACAGCCACCCAAAGGCACAGGTCCCCTAGCAGCAGTTTTTGACATAATGTCCAATTAAATCAGAGATGGATCAAACCTCAAAGCCCCAGGCGTTGGAGCAGACAGGACCCTGATCCAAACTCTGCCCGTGGCCCCTTTATCTATAATGGCACAAACCTAAAACCTGGATCCACGTACTCTGAAGAAGTTTCAATCCAGATTCAGTCTTTACCGCGCGGGCCCATCTCTGGCTCAAGTGAATTGGAAGCAAAGGCGCCAACAAGCGTATAGGCCTGGCAATGAAGTCTGCGCTGGAGGAAACCAGTTCCTGGCATGCCTGGTCACCTCAACCAGCACTAGAAGGGGTTAAGGTGGCTGTTCACCATGCCACCTTGAAGAACTTTGAAAGGCATCAGGGAAAGCTGCTTGCGAGTCACGTGAGCAGCTCCAGTTACCCGGGACCCAATCGTGCAGCCTGGCTTTTATCAGATCCATCTCCCCACTCAAAGGAAGCCATCAGTCTCTCTCCGCTGCCTCCGCTTTCTGTGTCAGGGGGCGGCTGGACTCGGAATGCAGCTGGGTGCCCTTGAACGGGCAGTTTCGCCTCCAATGTCACCTTGGAGAGAAACACTGCAGTGCAAACTTTGGAGAAGAGGGGAGGGGGGAGGAGATAAAGGGAGCTCTGTGCTCTACTCCCAGCTTTGCTCAGAGAAAGCAAGAGTGACAGGAACATTGATCAGGCCCTGCTACCATTCAGGGACACGCCAGTGGGATCATCTGTACGCCCCCCCCCCC